AATATCTGTTGGAATTGTTTCATGCTTGGAATATTTAGACATACAGGTTGTTCCTTGGCTTTGGATGGCTCGGTTTCACCTTAAGGTGGCTCGAATTGTAATTTCTATTAAAGTCTAAATTTATATCAATGCTTGGGTCCTATTTTAGCCTTGTTGTGCTCGGTTTTGGCCCCTGCTGGGCTCGGTTTTGACATCTTGCGGGTGTTTGGTCGAAGTATACATATGGTGAAGGAATTTATTTTGATTTAGAGGAACTCCATGGCTGTTCTTGTTCACAACATATGGTAGTTCTATATTTTGATGTCTTGAGGATATGGAGATGTTTTCTACCCTTTTGTTGTAACCTGAGTTTGAACCCCAGCTATGGCTCGGTTAGGCTCTATTTGAGAGTTCGGTTTGCTTGCCTTGGCTCCTGTCCGAGAGCCAGTTTTGGGCGTGCTGTGTAGTCCTTATTCGAAAGTTGTTATCTGGTTTGGATGGATTGGTTTGGAAGTTTATAAGGCAGCAGTTTGATGTTTGGTTTGTTCCTAGCCGTGGGTTTGTGATGTGGTTGAATCAGCCTCCCCCTTTGGTCCTACCCGTGAGCTCACCATTGAGATTTGCTCCCCTTTTGGTCCTTACCAGAGAGACCTATTGGAGGTTGTTTGGTGTGATTTGGTCCTTCTTGCTAGGCTTGAATGGCTCGAATGTTATTGATGAATCAAGTTTGTCATCTCAAAAATTATAATCACTTTAGTTATCCTCTTATGTTTGTCGAGGAAGCATAGTAGCCACGGGTGGTTCTTTTGGTCGCCTCGGCCGTGAGCCTTAACAGCTCCCACCTTCCTTTTTGGTCGCCTTAGCCGTGAGCCTTAGTAGTTGCCTTCCCTTGTGGGTTCCCTTGGCCGAGAGTTTTACTCTTTGTATTGACCCCGACAGAGAGCATTTATTTAGTTATATGAGAAGATTTTATGCTTATTTGATACATGAGAATATTTATTAATTTGAAAGTTGGGGAATCTTAATTTCGGAATGAGTTTGGAAATGTTAGTGGTGGTTTCCCCGAGGCCACTTTCTTTTGAAGTTTGGGAGATTTTAAACCCTATTTTGGAAAAAGCATTTGGTTGGGATGAATTAATTTCATAAAAGATGTCGTTGGGCTTTGGATATCGACGTTAGGAGGTCATTTTGACTCGGGTTGGTCCAATTCTAAAAGTGATAAAGTGATATCAATTTCGGATTGATTCAAGGATCTTCGGGTCTTCCTTTTCAAGTCTTTTTGTCACGAGCTTTGAGGGCTGATTCATCCTTCGTTCTTTTCGATGTTTTAGGTGAATCAGTCTCTCCTCTCTCTCATCCCATTTTTGTTCTTTTCTTTTCCTTGCTTCTTGATTCGGTTTTCGATGCTTATGTTCGATGCTTAAGTGTCCACGTATAACATTTTCTATACGTGAAACCATCAAGCAAGGTCGCAAGTAGTCGTTTTGGGGCGTACGGTGGTGATGAAAAAGGCACACCGAAGATAGAGCGGAAAGATGCCATATCCTATAACATCAAGATCCAGGTATTTGATAAATAATAAAATAACGGTATCCTTCACCGACATAAGTCTAGCGGGAGTTGACTCGAAACTCCTCAGGTTGTTGGCAGTTTCACGCCCGACAGCGTAATCGACTCGTGGACAATGAAAATTTCTAACAAAAATAATAAGTTTTGATAAACCCTTTTCAAGCAAAAACATACTTTTCTACGAAACAAAAATTGATAATTCTTCTTTGCATGTTTAAAATTTGTATGCATGTAAATAATACTCCTATTTCCCAGAATTAATAATACTCCTATTTCCCACATCAAAACACACTTCTAGACGAGTGGCGGGGTGTATACATTCGGATGAACGAGGAGCGGGTGATCGAGCAGCCTTCGCGAACCCTCGAGTATAAATATATATCTGAGTCTAGCCCCATACGA